GGTTGGGCGATTCTCCGATCGATGACTATTTATTGCTTTTCTCCCAACCGCCGTTTCGTCAGGGCCTGGCGACTGTGAACAATGCCATATACCGGGGATGAGGAGGGCGTGGCTGCGTTTCATTTGTTCATGTCGGAGTATGCGTTTGTTTTTAGAAAAATTCTATGTGCTGTCATCCTGCCTTATGCTAGACAGTTACGTGTGACAGCATATCAAACCGAAAGATTCAGCCATAGGTGCAGCCGTCTTCAAGTTCAAATGGAGTAGGCGCACGCCCTCTCGAGCTCTGGGAAATAGAGTGCCAATGACATACTCCAGAACGCTGAATATTCCGTATCCAGTTGACCAGGATAATGCCACCTACGATAAGCGCCTACATGAGGGAGAAAATCGCGATACCGCAAGAGGCGTTCGCGGGTTGGCAAACTTCAAGATCTGTTCTACTACTGTGACTGTTTACTCACACCATTTGGTATTCCCATCTGACTCTTTTTTTTCATCATTTTTCTGCTGAGGTGTAGTGTAGAAAGTTTGTAACCGGTCCACGATTGGATGAATACTGAATAATCAAATGAGCTCTTTGGTTGGAGAACTAAGGAGCGTGCGCGCGGTTTACCCTCCTTCATCTTCTTGGTAACCTCTGCCCCCGTAACATCGCCTTTCATCCTGCTTCACTATCATATTGAGAGCAAATTTTTCTAGGAGGTGCTCATAAATCGTTTTGGAAATTGTAACCTGCCAACCTTGTTTTATGCGTCGTTCATTCCTACTTTTTATGCTCTGCAGGCGGAGCAGTTTGCAAAAAAATCTGGCTTCTGTTCTATTAGGTTCCTTTTTTGGAGGACCATGACCCAAGGCTATTTATTTCACGGGTCAACTGCAGAAGTAGGTCAAAATATGAACTGTTACTCAGTGTCGAAAGCATTTGCCAAAGCCAAAAATCGGGATCGGTATTATTGCAGCTGCAGAAGGATTTTCGATATCTCACATGCTTCATACAGTTTGCTTCAGATTCCGGATTATTCCAAGAAACGAGAAGGGCCGGGTGAGAATGGTGATCCAGTGATCCTGGAAGGAAAAGAGAAAGAGATTGGCGAGCAACAAATGAAAACCTTCTTCATGAATGTGTTGGCCAGGTTTGTGGTTTTTTCTTCAACAGATGTAAAGAGCATCTGCATGTTTCTAGTTGATTTTCAGTGACAAGATTTCGTTAGATCGAAGTATCCCGGATTCACGATCTCGGGAGTGCCTAGCTCTTTCCTATCCTAGGAATCTTCCCACAGCATCAGTTGTCATCGTATTCACGAACGAATTCTTCTCGTGTAAGTGAAACTTGTGCAAATACCTATTTCCTTACAGCCCGGTTCGCTGATGTTAGAATTTTTATCATTGAGCCAATTTCAACAGAATGGGGGGCTGAGATACCTGTGGAGCATGCGGCGGCGAGACTGAAGCTGTTTGTCTGCGCTCTCCCATCCGGCGAGTGGCTCCTTCAATTCCTCACTTGAGCTCGGTCTCGGAGAGCGCCAGACACTCAGAGTTAGTAGAATCCTTATTGTCGCGTGGCCCCTCTCTCCTCACTCAACCAGCTTAGCCCATATACTGTAACTATTTATTTATTTACTTA